CAATGTCAAGGTAGGGAATTCAGCTAATAACAATGGAAAGAGAACTACTGCAAGAGAGCCAAGATATCCACGCAGATGCAGGAGGTGATTGCAGAGGGTAGGAAATAGAAAGCAATGTCAGCCTTGCTATACAGTGATGGGAGAATCCCCCTGCCAAGAACGCTGATTTTGTTCCCAAGACTGCGGAACTCTCAGGATTAAAGGTATCAGTCGATTACTCAAAGATAGAGAAATAAAAAGCAGCACATCAATAGCAACCTTTCCAGAATCAGAGAATAGGAAGGATGTCCGTTACTGGTTGTCCTCTTAGTCACCTGAACATTGTTGGGAATGTGCCATTGCATTGTTTTCACTGCTATGACTTTTTTTCTTGATTTTTCTATGTTTCTTGTCCTCATTCACCCTATGAACATTCTCTCCAGATTTTGATTTTAGCCCTTATCCTTTATGATTTTATTTTGTATTTTGTCTTCTTCTTAAGGGATTCAACTATCACAGAGATGCAGCCAATTCTCTATCTCCAGTTTTGATTTTTCTTCTACACTCCAGACCCATATACATGTAACCACGAACTATAGGTCGCTGCTCCCTAGAGATCTCACAGATATCTCATTGCCCCCAAACCACTCCTTCTCTGCTATTTCATACCTTGGTTAATAGCACCAACATTCATCCAACCAGAAAAACAAAAAAAATCTAGAAATCTTTGAGGACATAGAGATGCGAAAGTCATAACTTCATCCTCAAGAAATAATCAATCTCATAGGATACATGCCTGTACATTTCTCCCTCTTCTTAGAAACAACAATTAATTATCTTTGGTACTCATATGGAAATTAGAATTCCACTTTTTTATAAGAGTAAGAATTCTTATTTATAAACTTGTCTGAATTAAAGTGTAGGATCTTTTTGGAACTATGCAGGGTAGGACATATATCTTATTCATCACTGTGTTCCCCCAAACCTGACATATTGCATTGAATACAATCGATCTTCAACAGCTGTTAAATGTATACATGGATGACAGTAAAACAATAAAGGAAGTGAAAAATGACATGGAGATAGGCATAAATAAGTTGCTTTGGGATTATATTAGGGAAAAAAATATTTCTAGCTGGAAAGAAGAGAGAACATTCCATGAAGGTGGTAGAATTTGAACTGTTCTAAAGAAAGAAGAGGGGGCCTTCCAGGTAGGTATGCATCAAGAAAAAGGGAAAAAAAAATAGAATATATAAGGAAATAAAATTAATTTTTTTCAGACCATTGAGTAGTCAAAGTATAGGAAAGTGAACAGGGTTAGAGATGAGAGAACTCAATTGCAGGTAAAGAGAAGAACATTTTATTTAATTGGAAAATGCATTATACTTACTAATGTACAATTGTTAATATTATTCTTTTAATCATTTTTTATGCTGTCTGCTATGGAACACTATGATCATAGAATATACAATGATCGGGGCGCCTGGGTGGCTCAGTGGGTTAAGCCGCTGCCTTTGGCTCAGGTCATGATCTCGGGGTCCTGGGATCGAGTCCCGCATCGGGCTCTCTGCTCAGCAGGGAGCCTGCTTCCTCCTCTCTCTCCGCCTGCCTCTCTGTCTACTTGTGATCTCTCTCTGTCAAATAAATATATAAAATCTTTAAAAAAAAAAAGAGAATATACAATGATCGACTGTACCTGTACCTAGCCTCAAAAGTAAAAATTCAATCTATGTCTTATTTCATCTACACCCACTCACTGCGCCCCAAGATTATTGTGAAGCAAATCACAGACATTATATAATTTCACTTGTAAAGATTTTTATGTATATCTCCAAATGACAAGACCTTGTCTTCGGCAAGCATAACTACAGTATTATTATAACAATTTAAAAAGTGACAACTCATTGTATTATCAATATTCTGTGGTCAGAGTTCCCTGGTTTTCTCATAACTTGCTCTATAGCTTGGCTGAAGAAAACACAATCTAATTAAGGTCCATACATTGCAACTAGTTGTTATGGATCTTAAATCAGTCTTTCTCTTTTTCATTTTCTTTCTCCTTCCTTCCCTCCCTGTCTCTTAATCATTTTACTTTAGCATAAAATACATACAAAATCACTCAAATATATGTACGAGTTCATGTATTATTATAAAGCAAATACTTTGTAAGCACCACGCAAGTCCAGAATAGACTGTGATTAGTCATCCCTGAAGGCCTTCCACATGCCCCATGTCAATCACAGCTCTTTTCCTCCCCTGCCAAAGTAGCCACTATCTACACTTTCATGGTAAAATCAATTTCTTATTTTTAATTTATAATTTTATCACCTACATGACCATCCTTAGACACTATAGTTTCATCCAATGTTAAATGTGTCTTACGTGTCTCAAAACCTACACATTCCCACATCATGCCTTTCTTTTCCTTGTAATTTATCTGTTGAATAATCCAGGACATTTGGCCTATAGAATTTTCCAGTCTGGATTTTGCTAACTGCAAACTCATGGTATAGATCAATACATTCCTCTGTTCCTTATATACCCTGCAAAATGGCAGTAGGATCCAAAGGGTGTTTTGGGTTTTGTTTTTTGTTTTGTTTTGTTTTGTTTTTTTTCAGACTCAGGTTTAATCCATTTGGCACAATTATAAGTGATATTTTATTCTTTCATAAGAAGGAATATGTCTTGGGGCGCCTGGGTGGCTCAGTGGGTTGGGCCTCTGCCTTTGGCTCAGGTCATGATCTCAGAGTCCTGGGATTGAGCCCCGCATTGGGCTCTCTGCTCTGGTGGGGAGCCTGCTTCCCCATGTCTCTCTCTGCCTGCCTCTCTGCCTACTTGTGATTTCTGTCTGTCAAATAAATAAATAAAATTAAAAAAAAAAAAAAAGAAGGAATATGTCTAGCTGTTCCCTTTCTTATGATGGTATCAGTCACTGATGCTTCATGCTCAGATTTATTAGTTCATTAGGGGCTGCAAATGATTATATACTTTTATAAAAACACATTTCTCTGCACTATTTCATTACTCAGTGCACATTTCTTACAGGAAAAGCAGAATAAATAGCTGATTTTTTCCCTTTACTCGTTTTCAAGATAACAAATTGATTTCCTATCATCCACTAAATGTGACCAATTATTTTAAAAATATCATTATGAACTTATGGATTTAAATTTAATTCATAAGATTCAACTCATTGTGATTAATGACCTTACTGAAGTTCAAATTGTTCCATTATTGGCCAATGGAAAACTCTTAAAGTTGGCTCCTAAGTCATTTCATTAATGACTTAAACCATTAGATGCTAACATTTTAAACTATGATTATGAATTGCCTATTTCTTCTTTTAAATCTGTCAACTTTTGCTTCATGCAGTCAGACACACTGCTGCGAGGCACATATACTTGTACTATTTTTATGACTTCCTGATGAATTGACCCTTTTATTATTCTGAAAAGTCCTCTTTATCTCTGGCAATACTCATTGTCTACAGTCTATTTTATGTGTTACTGGTATATCCATTCTAACCTTCCTATTTTTATTCATCATTTATCTTTAATTTTAAATTCCTTCTCCTTTCCACTTTCTGTTCATCTTAAGGCATTATCTATCATGTTCATTTGCTGTTATGTCCCTCTTAGTTTTAGCTGAATGACTTATTTCCATCTTCCTAACTTTCTAATTTTGGATGTTTCTAATTCTTATTGATCTAGGTTATTCTTTCACATCTCATTTCTTAATATCTTTTAGCTCATTTTTTAACTAGTAAGTCACATTATATTCCTCTGGCATGCTTCTTTTTTTTGGTAGAAATGTTATTCTGCTTCATATTCTCCTTTTTCTTCTCAAGTTTGAACAGGATTTTACCTTGGTTCTTTTATTTTAAGGTTTTATTTTTATCTGTTTAGAGAAAGAGAGCACATGTGAGCAGGGAGAGGGGGAGAGGGAGAAAGAGAATCTGAAGCAGACTCTGTACTGAGCGTGGAGCCCGACATGGGGCTCGATCTCAGAACCCCGAGATCATGAAGTGAGCCCCCCAGGCACCCCTATCCTGGCTCTTTTTGTTATTCATTTTTATGTTAAATGCGTTTTTTTCTGAGCTTTTGAATTTGGCAGGATTTTCTAACTTCACAGAGCTCCCTCTTCCAAACTATGATCTTGAGATTTGTTGAGTCTGCTGCTTCAGAACTTCTTACTATGGGCCTCTTGGACTCATTCTCTGTTAGAGAGTAAAACTCTTCCCAACTTCAACTCCTGTTCTCAAACTGGCCCACCACACTTTACAGTGAGGATCGCTGGTTCCTTGTTCTCCAGTCTAGCAGAGACCACATGACTTCCATCTGCCCCACTTCCCTAGACACTGATTCTATATGTGGTTTGTTTCACTTATGTCATCGAAAGTGATTCTTGTGGCTAACTCATCCCGGAGTTTGTTCTAAATGTTGTCCAGTAGTTTTTAGCTTTGGCATATGTGGGTATGTGAGGAGATTAAAAAACAAATAAGGCTGCTGCCACAGGTGCCATCTTCCAACATCTTCATTTTTGACTGAATACTTGCCAAGTCTCTCAGATGTGGAAGAGACCACAGATGGACTGTGCCCACAAATGAGGATAAACATGGGAACACACACAGATAGCAGAATACAGTGCTGACTAATCAAGGAGTTGACATTCACCAGATGAGCGAGCAGCTTCTGACCTCACTTAGCAATGAAAAGAGCATGCAGGCATTTCTCAAATGGTATCTCACAGGAAGTTAATAGAAATATGGTAGTTCTAGTTGTCCAGTGAATGTAATTTAGGAAATGGTGAGTTGAGACAAAGCATTCTTCACTACTTCCTCAAAATGGCACACAGATAAATAAAAATGGCACAAAGTAAAGACGTGGTAAAAGATTTGCATAAAGTTATTAAGGAAGAAATAAAAAATCTGACAAGAAAAACCTCAGTTTCAACATTAACTCAAGAATCAAGGACAGACATTGCCATTTTAGAGAGCGTAAGATGCTCCTGAGTTTGCTTACCATGTACCAAGTGATGGTTGGTTTGACAGTGGAAGGAAAGAACCCATCTACATTTGGACACGTGATCTTCTGAACACCATACTCTATATACAGCTTGTGCAGTGGGAGTTTCATGGAGGAATTGAAGCAGCTGTCTTTCTGAACCACTTCCAGGGGAAATGCAACTTTGCTGCAGTATGTGGTGTTCCTGAAAAGAAAAATAGCCAATAAATGGGCAATTGCCTTTGCATTGAATTTGATGCAGCAATCACATGAAAATGAGCTAAGTGAAATAATGCTGCGCATTGAGATTTCATTTGCATGTGAGTTCACATAGAAATTAAGTGCGTTATAGAGGTATTTCTTCTACCAATTTGATGTCACAAAATAAAAACAGACACATTTAGCTACTGCTGATATACTAAAATATTTACATTTTAGGATGACTGGGCAATTGTATTTACATTTGAATGTCCACACAGGTCATTTAGTCTGCCTAGGGGCTCTCTCATCCCTTATGCAGGGGGTAATTTTCAGCCTCATAAGATATATCCTCTGACTTAAAAAAAATAATGGACAGTGGTAAGACTGATTTTTCTGGTTTCCAAAGTAAAATCTGGATGTTATCCTCAGAGGAATATTGAAACAAGAATACAAGTGGTACAATCCTGGAGGATGAATCTTAATTTATGGCCCTAAGACATCAGTCCACCTCACATATGGAGGCTTTCCATGTCATCCTCCACGCACCCCACTTCTAAATTAGGGTTCTCATTCTCTGAGCACCTCAAACATTTCCTTGATTGACTTTATCATAGTTCAAACAAGGGCATGGTCACATGTTTCTTCTTTTGTTCTTTGCATGTAGTACAGTGTCTAAACTTTCAGTAGGCACTAACTAAATGTTTCAAAAATAAATGGAATGGATGTAAAACATGTGTCTGTACACATAAAGGGAACACAGATAATAAAAATAACTGATTTCTTAGGGTTATGGGTAAATGGGTCACTCACTGTCTACCTTTTTTTGTGATTTCAATTCAAGGTGCCAAATACATATAGATACTCATTAACTAATTAATTGAGGCTAAATACAGTGAAATGGGGGATGCATTTCTCTCCCAGAATGGGAAGAAGGGATGTTTAAAGATGACTTATGACAACGATAATAAGGTAAGAAGGGACAGTGGCAGCTATAATCACCACCTAAAAATAGCAAAAGGTCTACCAGGTGGAAGAAGTATTCTATAGGTGGAAATTTTACAGGGGGTAATTTTCAGCTTCATAAGATATATTCTCTGACTTAAAAAAAATAATGAACAGTGGTAGGACTGATTTTTCTGGTTTCTAAAGTAAAATCTGGATGTTATCCTCAGAGGAATATTGAAACAAGAATACAAGTGGTACAATCCTAGAGGATGAATCTTAATTTATGGCCCTAAGACATCAGGCCTTTGATTTTACATGGGCCAGTTTAAGGACATTCTCCACTTAGGAATTGCCTCAGGACTGTGGAAAGCTTCTGGTGTCTCCACCAGACAAGTTCACTTCTAGATTTACTTTAGGGACAGAGAAGATAAGCAGACAGGTAAACTGAAGAGATGGCCATCTGGAAATTGATAAATCACATTAAAGGAATACTCAGGCCTTAACAGTCACGCTGCTCCTATAATGTAAAGGTTAGAAAAGTTTGAGGAAGTGCTCTAGATAAGTAGGAAACAAAAATAGAGTTAATGAAACACTAAAATGCAGAGAAGAGAACAAGGTCATCCAGAAAGCTACTGATAACGCTTTCCCAGCTATTTCTGATGTCCACCTGTAACAGATTAACAATTGCCAAAGATGGAAAGGAGATTTTAGGCTGCTTTTCTCATTGGGTGGATACAAATGCCAAAGCTCTCAGACACAGACTGACGTGCCTAAGGTCACCAGCTGAGTAGCATAAGGGCTGGGATGCCAGCCTGGTTTCTGTGTCTTTTCATCCCATGCTCTTTCCACTATAATCTGTCTTGACCTCTCCTACAAAGCTGTCTTGGACATAAATAGTGGTCAGTGCTCTTTGGAAGCTTGCAAACTAGTCTAGAGTTCATTCCAATAAAACTAAAGAATCAGGTGAAAACCTCAAAAGGGCCTTCAGAGGTTCCAAGGGACTCCTAAGGCCACAATGATGAAAATGCGTTCTGTGACAGAGAAGTCCTTTTTCACTTAATCGTAACATAGCTTAAATATATCAAAATGTAGTCACATTTCTCTATCAGAGAATGGTCAATAACCATGAGAGACAAAGGGCATTCAGAAGACAGTGTGGGACTATCTATTATGTCATTCTATGCTGTTGTATCATTATATCATTCAGCCCTATTGTTATGGGCTGAATTGTGTTCCCCAAATTCATATGTTGAATACTTAACCTCCAGTAATTCAGAATGTGACCATATTTGGAGACAAGTCTTGAAAGAGGTGATTAAGGTAAAATGAGTATGGTGGGCCCTAATCCAATATGACTGATATTCTTATAAGAAGAGGAGAATAGGACAGAGATGATGCAGGGGGTAGATCATGTGAAGAGATGGAAAGAAGATGGCAGTCCACAAATCAAAGAGAGAGAAATGAGACCAACCCTGCCAACACTTTGATCTTGGAATTATAGCCTCCAGGACTGCAAGAACACAAATTTCTGGTATTTAAGTCACTTTTCTGTGGTATTTTGTTTTAGTAGCCCTAGCAAACTAATAGGTGCATACTGCACCTATTAAACAGTAGGAAACTGTGTAAAAACAAAACAAACACAAAACAAAAACAAAAACAAGCCATAATCCACAAACCAGATGGGAATTTAAAAAACAAAGTAAGTCTTGGAAGCTAAAAGGGGACCTTGGGAAAAGAGTAGCCAAAGATCTAAGCCTTAAAAATGATTATTCTTTAGAGAGGCCTCGGCTGTTTTTTTTTTTTTTTTCTTTTAAAGATTTTATTTATTTATTTGACAGAGAAAGATTGAGCACAAGTAGACAGAGAGACAGGCAGAGGTTGGGGGAAGCAGGCTCCCTGCTGAGCAGAGAACCCGACGTGGGGCTCAATCCCAGGACTCCGAGATCATGACCTGAGCTGAAGGCAGAGGGCTAACCCACTGAGCCACGCAGGGGCCCCGGAGCTCAGTTTTTTATAATTTTTTTTTTTTTTCAGAACAAAAACAGCATTAATCTGTGGTAATAGAAGAATAGAATATGGTTTAAAATATGGTTTAAATAGAATATGGTTTAAAATGCAAAATCTATATGAATTTTCAAGATTCAACAAAGTGGATTTGAAAGAAATTTTGCAGTATTGGTGGGGTTCTTTGGATTATATTCTTAGATTCCCAATGATATGGTGTTTATTTGTTTTGTAAGGCAATTTTGATGAAAAAGTTTGAAAGGCATTATTCTAAATACACTGGATATCTCCCAAATATTCTTCTTCCATAAGGCATCCTAAGGCTTTCTTCTGTATCAGGGACATCGAAAGATGCCAAGAACAACAGAAATGAATGGGTTCTGCTCTCTACTGTGCTCATTGTCTAGGGAAATAGATGCTTTCAGTTGAGGCAGAAATGCAGGCAGGTTCTAATATCAGGGAAAAGGAAAAAAATAAACAAGGCTCCATCATTAGATAATCTTGATATATGTCAGGGTTTGAAAAGGAACCAGTTATAGAGAAAGATCTCAGGAGTGCAACCGTTTTCTCTGCACACCTCTTGGGCAACCTCTGCTAATCCACTGAGTTGGGGTGTAACTCTTTCTAGATGTTTCCTTCCCTGCCATAGCTTCATAGCAGATGCATCCTCCAGATAAAAGCCCAGGAACTAAAGGGAAAAGAGAAAGTCCCCACCAAGAATCAGGCTACCTTAACATGCAGGTATAGTTGCCAGTATCGTTGAGGAGGGTGGGTCGGAACCAGAGAACATCTTTCTCTTTACTAATGCGGTTGTCAGGGAGGCGGAAGTTAATTGGCTCCTCCAGGTCCCGGTCCTGCCTCGTCCAATACCAGATCAGAGTCAGGCCAGCTGAGTGGGCTGTGCTGTAGTTGTATTTCAAGAAGTGTTCAAAGAGTGGGCACTTGAGGCGAGCTGGCTCATCTTCAAACACTTGGATCTGCCTCATGGTATCTAGTCCCCAGTCATCACAGCGTTCTGGAATGATCAAAAAAAGAAAGAAAGGGCTAGTGAGTCACCTCATGTTAAAGGCCTTCTCAGGACACCCAATCTTTTCCAGGAACCCCCCTGTCTGGTGATGTTCAGTAGCCTCTCTGTAATAATTGCGTGGAATGGGCACTGTGGGATGAAGAAATTATTTCTGTATCTTCCTTTAGCATCTTTTCATTACCTCTTGGATAATGACTTGATCTGATAACTTGAGCTTGTCATGCCCTATAAGGTATGGGGAAGAATCTCACCTGAAAAAGAAATCATGTGCTCTTTCACCCTCTGGAGACAGAGTAAGTTCTGAGGAAAAAATTGTAACTGAAAAGATAACCCTCCAAGACTCTCAGTTCTTCCCAGGTCTCCTGATTTGCGGGTTAGATCTGCCCAGGCAAAGAGATCTATCTACATCATAGTCTCAGGAGCAAAACTATATATGTAATAAATAAAATGAAGTTTGTCACTAAAGTTTATGGTTGCATATTAAGACAACATTTTTGTGGCAGCAGACAATTGAGAGAACAATTAAATTTGTGGTACTTTAATTTTGATAAAAGCAAAGAATTTGAAGCTTTATGACTTGCAGAAGGATTTGTAAGCAATAAATCCCTATGTAAGTAATAGATCTCTGAGAAATTTAACAAACTGGCTTTTCTGAGACTCAACAAATTACTATTATTTATAATTCCTATGCCTTTAATAAGAAACACCTTTTACAATCCAATATACAAAGAAAGAATTGGAAAGATCAAAATGTTGCTCACACCAATACAAACGTAATAGTAATTTTTTAAATAAAACATCTATGTTACCAGATTCTTCAAATACATTTTCATTAAAGCTATGAAGTTGCATAATCAGCTCATTTGGTTTACAGGATATTACAACCACAGTTTTTCAGATACATATGTCAGATGGAATATATACAACCATTTTCACTCCTTTCTGAAACTCCACTAAAACCAAAATAATTTTTTCAAGACTTAACCCCAAGTAAGAGCAAGAGCAGGAGAAAAACTAGTAACAACATCAAAATTGACAAACTGTAACCAGTTCGGTCCATTTAAATACTTTGCTTTGTTTTGTTTTTCATCCTTGGCTTTCATCCTGTCTCCTAGAGCTGAGAAATGATATATTTTTATCAAATTAAAGAAATGCTCAACTGTTTAAAAAAATTAAAATTAATGGATAAATCCTCAACCTGCAGGGGAAAACAGGGGAGCACACCAAAGTGCAATTCAGAATACTGTGAACACCCAGAAGGAACTGCCAGCCCCACAATAAGGAATCACTATTGCCATTTGCCCATTATCTCTGGGTTCTCCTTCTACGCATATTGTAAGAATCTACTTTCCTGCCCCTTTGGAGGAGAGCCCATGTGACTGAGTTTGGCCAATATGATGTAGTGTCACTTGTGTTGCTATCTTAAGGGCTCGAGCAAATTTTACCATGCTCCCTTTTCTTCTGCTCTGGCAAATATAAAAGTGCAGAGACTAAGCCTCCTCCTTTAGTTTGGGTCCCTTGATGTAAATGACATACAGCAAAAGAAGGAAAAAAAAAAGAAAAAAAAAAAAAACCCAGAAGAGATCTGTCAATTAAATAAGTTGATGAAAATAGACAAGCTACAAAAATATTTTCTAAAATTATGGAAAAAGAGAAGATTCTAAAAACTGTTAAAGAGTAAGAAAAGAGACCAAAAAATGATCATATAGAAAAGACAGGAATCAGAATGGCTATGGGAATTTTGAAAAAACAAGACTAGAAGCTGGAAGATAATGAAACAATATAGGTGATGGGAAATTATATCCAATCGTGAATTTAAACCCAAGGAAACAATCAACTGTGAAGGTGATGTTTTCAGACACATCAAGACTCAGTAATTTTCTTTCCCATATGCTCTTTATTAGGAGGCTTCTGAGGGACATGTTACCAAAATGAGGGGGGGTGGGAAAGAGAGAAAATTATGGGATTGAGGAAGAGGGGATCCAATTCAAGAGAGAGGGGAAGGGATTCCCCAGAATAACAATGAAGGAGATCCCAGGCTAACCACTATGCAGCAGGGATTGGGGTGAACCAGTGTAAATAAAAGGTAATAGAACTGTCCAATTAAAAAAAAGAATAATTGTGACTAATAAATTATCTGATGAAATTAGCACTGTGGAAAATTATGCTAAAAGGCAATTATAAAGTATGAAAACAGTCACCCCAAAGGTCCAAATTAAAGAAAGCTTATGAAGGCAAGGCACTTAATAACTTCCAAAAATAAGGAAGTAAACATAATCATAGTTCATTAATATGTGAAGGCATATTAATTAAATGATTATTGATCTAACCAAATATTGTAGTATTATTAGCTGAAGAGGAATGGGTAAGGAAGGGAGAGGGGATGGCCATTTAAGAGAGAAAAACATCAATGAGATGTTTATTAACTATGGACTATAATTAAAAAGTGAACAAAATAGTGTCCAGGGTTGACTAAATGAAAAATAGTAATATACACAAATTGATTAACAAAATATAGATAGGAAATGCTAGAAGAAATAAATAAAATACTTAAAAGTGGTGGCTTCTGAAGAAGAGAGCTAACAGATGTGAGGAAAGTTGAGGCAGAAAGAGTATTTTTTTATAACACTTTTAATATACTGGCCTTCAAAAAAAAAAATCACCATGAATGATTTCCTTTGAACATCATTAAAATAATAATTAGGAAAAGAAAAAGGAAGGTAGGAAGGGCATATCCATCATGCAACAAAATTGGCAAAGCCATTCTCAGTGTTTAACCATCCTAATTGTATTTCTTCTCTGTTAGGAAAAAAATCCTTGATTTCATTTTTTAATTCCAAAATTTGTATCAATATGCTTTGGCACGACAGTCATTTCACTTTTAAATTATAAGGTGATAGTTTAAAAAAAAAACAAAGAAGCATAGGCAGCTGGGCAGCTGATGGTGTCTGGAACTTCACCATATTATTTGTTTTCTGAATAAAAAAGATGCTACCTCCCTCTGCATTGCATAAAAGTATTCTATATGCTGTTCCTAAAGGCACCTCTCTCAAGAGCTCCGCACAATTTTCCAAATCTGGATGATGGTAGAGGCAAGGCGATTAAATGAAAATTATCCTCTTTCCTACTATCCTACTCTATAATATATCTCTATTCAGATCGCCCCTACTTGGGCCAGTAGACCGCAGTCTCAGGCCATGACTCTCTTAACAGAACACTGGTAAACTGGAGAGAAAGAGGAAGCCCTTCTGAGGGTTAATGGTGCTTTGATTAAAGGAGACTTCCTGACACCAATATTACAAATTGTCACTTTGTTTGGTCCCTGGAGGTCTTTACCATCCTGGGAATGATTAATAGTAAGATAGATGATAAGTGACAGGTCAATTTTTCTTGTGTAAAAGTAGGAGAATGCACACTGTGGAAAGGGAGATGAACAGAGAGCTGGTGTGACATCTCAACCACAAGTTAGTGTGACACCTCACCAACTTAGGAAGTATGAAATGGAACTCTGGTGACCACAAGGCCAGAAGTGGCAGAGACTGTCTAAATATTCATGAACCCTGGTTTCCCTTGGCCCATATGGATTCTACATAGATATCCTCCGCAACCGAATTGGGGCCATTTGTTTTGGTTCTGGCCAATGAATGAGGCCAGGAATGGTTTAACTTCAAACTCCCAGCATAATCTCTGACGCTTTCGCCTGCCCTCACATGGAGACCCCAAGGGCCAGAAAAGTTTGAATACGGTAGCCTCACAGGATGAAGGAGACTAGATCTCTGCCACTGCTTAGAGCAGAGCTCCACAGAGATGCCATTGCTCTCTCAAGGGGCTGTAGTTGAACAAAGAAATCAACTTCTGTGGTATTGATTTAAATCACTGAGACTGGGGCGCCTGGTTGGCTCAATGGGTTGGGTCTCTGCCTTCGGCTCAGGACACGATCTCAGGGTCCTGGGATTGAGCCCCACATCAGGCTCTCTGCTTAGCAGGGAGCCTGCTTCCCCCTCTCTCTCTGCCTGCCTCTCCGCCTCCTTGTAATCTCTCTTTCTGTCAAAGAAATAAATAAAATCTTTTTAAAAATAAATAAATAAATAAATCACTGAGACTTGGCGGGGGGCAAGTTGTTACAGTGACTAGCTTTTCCTATCTTGACTATTAAAAGATGGCAGAATTTTCCTTCTATAACATAATTCAGTAAGTCAAGCACAGACGCATTTTAAAACAGCGTTTGTTAAAGGACCTTACGTACTAAAATTCAAATATAGATCAATCACCAAGATTTGGGGCTGATTCCTGAGACTTAATATCTTTTCAATCAATTTAAATGCGATTCATCTGAAAGTGGAAAAGAGATCATTGCACCTGGTAGGTATCTCCTTTACAGAATGTTCCATCGGCCAAATAAACACATCTATAAAGTGAATCAGCCTCCATTCCATTAGGGACTGAAAACACACATACCGGTATTCCTAAACATTAGCCAAAAAAGGTATTGAGCTTTTCCTATGGGGTATTTGCCCATTTGAAATTTGTTCTGTGAGTTTTTAAGTTTCCCTCACTGGCCACCTGAGGGTATTTTGTCAAAGCATTTTAAATTATTCAATGACAAAATAAAAATAAAATCTATGGCAACAGGTTGCAGTGTCATGTAATACCAAATTAATTATATGATTCACTGCAGGCACCAGTCGAAGAAAAGACTGGGGAAAAAGGCTGCTATGCAAATAGATTTGTCTCTAATAAACAGCGAAGGGAATTTAGCAAGTTATAGGCACAGAGAATTACCTTTTTGTTTAGAATGTCCCTTCTTACCCAGTTGACTCCACAGTAGACGTCCTCTCTAAATTGGCCTTCAACATGGGGAACCACAAAGTCATCGTTTCCCTCAGCCAGAGGATTTCTTAAGGCGGAGGCTTGGTGGCACAGAGGACTAATGGAATACGCAAGCCTCCCAAAGCCAAGTCACTGGAAAATCCAACCCACGCTCCTGA